GGAGACTCGCTTGAGCCCAGGAGTTGGAGGTTGCTGTGAGCTGTGATGTCACAGCACTCTACCCAGGGGGATAGCTTGAGGCTCTGTCTCAAAAAAAATCCCAAATAAACAAAAACTTTAGAGTTAACAATAATTTAAGCTACTTCTCAAAGTTTAAAAAGATTTGAGACCATTTCATGTAACAATGGTACTTTGATAAACACTGGCTTTCTACCTCAATTCATCTTGTTAAAAAACTCCTAATCTTAATGGCACACCATTTAGGATTAAAGAAGAATAAAAAATACATTAGCCTGATAAGCAAACTAGCCACTCTGACCAAAGTAGGGTCTGGAATCTAGAAAGAAAACACACTCTGGCAGACATGAGAAGATACAGTAATCAGATCGTTTCAGAGCGAGTGGATTACAGATAAACCTTTCTTAAATTTAGGCCTGCCCTAAGAGCTAAATAGAAAAAAGAACTCCTACATAGAGGCTGAGTTTCATTTTTGTGGCCATTAAATTCTGCTATCAACCACAGAAAAGAAGATCTGAAACATTAGCAAAAAGGAAATAAACATGGAACCCTAAAGAGGGTAATTAAAAACGGAACTTTGTCAATGTGCATACATAGAACCAAAGCCCCAGTGGAATAAATATTGCTAAGTATTACCAAAGCCAATTAAAACTTGCTGTGCTCATAGGTGAGACCCTGTCTGGCAGTAAGTGTAGATGCTAATTAGCTCTTTAAAAAATTCTGGAATAAAAACTTTCATATGTTTTTCCAAAGAAAGAAAACTAAGCAATTAAAGTCAGATGTCTTTTAGCCAACAAAGTGCTTGCAAAATTTTTGGAAAATAATAATAACCACATTAAAAAAAAATTGGTGTAGCTGAGAAATATATTCTAGGTAAAAGATACACTGGAAGGGTTCGGCACCCGTAGCACAGTGGTTGTGGCACCAGCCACATACACCAATGCTGGCAGGTTTGAACTCAGCCCAGGCCTGCTAAACAACGACAACTGCAACAAAAAATAGCCGGGCATTGTGGCAGGTGCCTGTAGTCCCAGCTACTAGGAGGCTAAGGCAAGAGAATCGCTTGAACCCCAGAGTTTGAGGTTGCTATGAACTGTGACACCATAGCACTCTACTGAGAGCGACATGGTAACATTCTGTCTCAAAAAGAAAAAATAAAAAGATACACTGGAAGGAGACATCACTTCCTTGGCAATAGTGCTAGACAGAAACTCACTTTCCTTTTCCTTGTGGCTGTTTACTATAAGTCAACAAGCTGTCAATGTACTAAACAGTGCATTTCTTCATCATAATCTATTGCTGTAGTTCTCAACCTGTAGTTTGTCACCTCTTTGGGGGCTGAACAACCATTTCACAGGGGTCACCTAATATATCCTGCGTATCAGATATTTACATTACAATTCATAATAGTAGCAAAATTACAGTTATGAAATAGCAACGAAAATAAATTTTATGGTTGGGGGTCAACACAACACGAGGAACTGTATTAAAGGGTCGTGGCACTAGGAAGGTTGAGAACTACTGTAGAAGGTATGCTGAATCTTTCTGGAATAAATGGAGCTAGGAAATGGTGGTCACTAGGCTGGAGGCAAAAATCAAGATCCAAAGTTAATTTTAAGAAAAACGTGGACCCCTGGTGAGAAAAGGTCTAAGAAAGGAATCTTCCACTTTAAGTTACCTCGACTCTTAGAGAATCTCTTGTGTTAACCCTAAGGTCCTGAAAGCCAACCAATCCACTAACTGCTTTAATGATGGCAGTATGGACCACTGAACAGTAATACTCACCTATCAAGACTCCAAAGCTTCACAGAGCCATCAGCAGCGCAAGAAGCCAGGTTGACATCTTTTTTATCCAAGGAGATAGTGGATTTGGGATGGAATACAATTGCTCCTACATTTGTGTTATGGCCTAAAGGAGTGAAAAATTAAAGGGTTCCCACCATCTTACAACTTACATAACAAATAGAGGCTATACTGAATAATACAGATAAGTATATATTAGGAAACATGTGGACATACAGAGTATTAAAGTGACTACTTAACTATTAAGAAGAAGCTATCTCAACTTGAAGTACTATTTAAATTGCATTAAAACAGCAAATCAGATAATAACTTTTTGTTATTGTTTATGGATTATAAAGTGCCAGAGTGTGACTGGACATGAGAGAAAGTGGATGTATATGAAGTCATTATATTCTAGCCTTGCAGCCAGAGAAAACTGAGTCAAATCAAATCAAGAATTGATGTTGGCTCGGCGCCTGTGGCTCAAGTGGCTAAGGCGCCAGCCACATACACCCAAGGTGGCGGGTTCAAATCCAGCCCGGACCCGCCAAACAACCATGACGGCTGCAACCAAAAAATAGCCGGGCATTGTGGTGGGCACCTGTGGTCCCAGCTACTTGGGAGGCTGAGGCAGGAGACTCGCTTGAGTCCAGGAGTTGGAGGTTGCTGTGAGCTGAGATGCCACGGCACTCTACTCAGGGGGACAGCTTGAGGCACCTGTCTCAAAAAAAAGAACTGATGTTGTAGGCTGGGTATGGTGGCTCATGCCTGTAATCCTAGCACTCTGGGAGGCCTAGGCGGGTGGATTGCCTGAGCTCACAGATCCTAGACCAGCCTGAGCAAGAGCAAGACCCCCAAATCTAAAAATAGTGGGGCATTGTGGCAGGCACCTGTAGTCCCAGCTACTCAGGAGGCTAAGCAAGAGAATAGCTTGAGCCCAAGAGTCTGAGGCTACTGCTAAGACACCATGGCACTCTACCAGGGGAGACAAAGTGAGACTCTGTCTCAAAGAAAGAACTGATGTTGTATGTACTCAGTTTGAGAGTCGGGCAGAGTTTACAGCTTACCAGAGTTCACCCTGGCAAACAAGACCTTAACTCACCTCGAAGAGTGTGAAGGAGGTTGCAATCAGGAACAGACCAGAGCTTACAAAGCCCACTCCTATCAAATACAAAGGAAAGCATCTCAGCGAGGGTTAGTCTGGGAAGGAAAAGGTATCTTGGGAACATTACTAAAGGACAATCTTTTCTTACTTCAATAAATGTTACAGTGGCTTAGAGAAAAAAATCAAATCAAGATTTAATAAAAGCCTTGTAATTTAAAGAGTTACAGAAAAAAAAATTTACAGCCAGGCTCCAAGCAACCAGAGGCCTCCTTGACTGTACATTATGAAGCTGACATTGTACAAGTTGCCATTCTCCTTAACTTTTAGACTAATTTGTGATGGAAGGTAAGACAAATTAAACTACTCAATGTTAAGAACTGTATCATCTCTTTAAAATAAACAGCATTTTGCTACTTACAAAGCACTTTTAAAAGACTTTTGGAAATTTTCCAACAAATTACTTTTATATATATTATCTCAAATGATCTTTATATCAGACCTGGCAAGTAGGTTAAGACAGGACTTACCAATTCTATTAAACTTTATAGCGTATTGTTTCTTGGCCTTCTGAATCAGTCCCAACTTCTGCCTACTCAAGTAGCTCCTGTGTACTCAATTTAAATTTTCTCTCTCACTAAATAGCCATGTCCCACAAAAAAAGAAAAACCAAAATAAAACAAAACAACAGAGTTCCTACACCTTAGGAGTTGTCGGCATATGTGGTGGTTAGTAGAAAGCAAAATAAAAAGAAAGCAGTAATTAATGTTTACCAGGTCCTTACCATATCAGGTACTACTATTCAAGACAAAATGCTTTACAAACACTATCTCAATCCATCTTACTGATAAGGGCACTGAAGCTTACAGTGATTAAGTGTCTTAGCTAGGTCATGTAACTGAAAAAGAAAAGTTATACAGAGGTGCAGATAGTAGTTGGGCCTATACTACATGAGCTTCTCCAAAACACATGGGTGAAGAACGTGACAGAATGCTACATGCTATAGATAGGGGGTGGGGACTGGTAAACAGTAAGCATGGTTCAGTAAAGGCTACAAAGTATTATACAGCTGGTAGAACACTACTACCTTCTACAGTATTTGGTGTGATCATGAGAAGGTGAGAAAAAGGATGCAGAAAGACATTTAAGACAAATGCTAACTTTTTTCTAAATTTATCACCCATTTAGGAAAAAATATCATTGTAAAATGGAACTTACCAACAAGCTGTGGCCAACATCTTGGAATTAGGACTAAAGTGACAGTAAGAGATAGGCCGATCATCCCCAATCTGACTGCAGAAATTATTCAAAGACTTCAAAGAAAAAAAAAAAAAAGAGGACAAATGGTGACAGACTAATCCACGAATTCCAAGGCTTTCTTCATCATTTAAAAAAAAAACAAACAACTTCCATTTTAAACCACACCAAGGTTCTTCCATGGTTTTTTTGGTTGCTGTTAGGAGATAATTATATTAATAAATGGAGTTAAGGCTTATCTGAAACTCTAGCATGCTATTTTCTACAGTCTTAGTATTACTACCTTCTGTGTCAATAAAATATAAACAGAAAACCCTGGAGCTGTGTCTAAATATAAACATAAAACCTAAAAGCACAGCTCTGACATATTAAAAGGGAGAATTATGAGTAGAACCATTGGCCTCTGATGAGTACAAAACACAGTAGGTTCCTGTCACCTTGCACGACGGCTCCTCCCATAATCATAGCAGCTCAAGCAGGGGGCAATTAATAGATGCCTTTACCTTCCTAGAAGAGGGCCCACACAGGAAAATCTAATAAATATTAAGAACCTTCAACTGCTATAAGCAACTTACCCGTAGAGATTTATGCAGCTCCTGCATCTGGGAGGTTCTAGTTGTCTCAGGAATTTCTTTATGGAGACGAGCCTCTTCTAAGCGCTTCATTGCCCTGTGACACAGAAAAAACACTGCTATAAGTAAATGGTTGTAAACAAAGGTCCACACACATATATCAATTTCATTTAACAATCAGTCATTATAAAGCAGACTCTCAGTCACTGAGATGAAACAAACAAAAAATATGCTTCTTTCTTCCCCTTACCTGGGCAGTGAGTAATTAGCTATCCATAGTCTAGCCACTTTCAAGCTGTTCGGTCCTTCATGGTACCAGGTTTGCTGATACTGAAAGGGAAATTAAGAGCAGAAATGTTAACTCTGAAGCATTTCTGCCCCTCCGATAGCTGATAATTCTCTATCCTGACTGTCCAGAGAGAAGGTGAATTAGTCTGGTAATAGGATAAAGTCAGGCATTGTGCTTTCCACTATGATATGTGTTTTCTTCTATGATGCCTTTTAGATAGGTTCTGATTCTTTGTTAAGTTATGCCAGGAATGTGACAATTCTTCCCTGACTGAAAAACATGTAGTTCCATTCATACCTACAAAGGAAGAACAATCTACTGCCACCAACTATTACTGAATGGTAGAGCCTTCAAAGCCATCTTCCCCACTCATCCTAGCAAACCAATGAAAGCAGAAAACAAGAGAACTACTCTGTCGTTTCCTTCATGTTTATACTGTGAAGCCAAAGACATATTTTACCTCTTCTTTGGACTTCTTAGATTTCTCATCATCCTTCTTAGTCTTTTTTAAGGCATCAGTACCAACTACTGAGAGGATATTTCTTAACCTGTAACAAAAAATCCAATTAAAACCCTGCTGAGGTAAGATTGTGAAAAAGTCCATCTTAAATGGTAGCATGCCTCCACTATTCTCTCACACTGAAACCCTTACCAAACTTTAAGAGTCATGTGGGCATGCCTAAACTCCTAGTTTGATCTTCTTTATTTGAAAATTCACTAAATTCAACTATGAGCAATAGCCGTATTCAGCTTAGAGTCAACTAGCTCCCTTCCCCCTCACTACTACCACTAGTTCTGGGGGAAGACAGATAGTACTAGAAAACTATCATATGTTATATTAAGTATCATGGCAGCAGTAAGCTCAGAGTGCTAGAGGGGAATATAGAAAGGACATCTAACCTGGTCTTGGAGAGAGGATCAGAAAAGGGTTCATAGAGAAAGTGTTACCTAATTGAGTCCTCAATTAGTAAAAGGGATCAAGAGTGGGAAAATCATAGTTGAGGCAGAGTATTAAACAAATGTAAAGGCCAAGAGGTTAGAAAAACATGTTGAACTTGGAATCATAAATAGTTTAACAAGGCTAGAACATGGGCTTGGCGTCTGTGGCTCAAGGGACTAAGGCGCCAGCCACATACACCTAAGGTGGCAGGTTCGAATCCCCAGCCCGGGCCCGCCAAACAACAATGATGGCTGCAACCAAAAAATGGCCAGG